AAACTGCAGTACGGTGACAATGGAGAGGCATTCCAGTACTTCAGGGAACCAGGACAAGATACAGACAAAGTAAAAATAGCTTAATTTTACTGAAAAGTTTCATTTCTTAATACTTATCAGGTTTTAAAAAAGGACAACGCTTTTCAGTTTTAAATACACGTTTCGACAGTAACTTCTGTCATCGTCAGTTACAACTAGAGTGAATTTGAATATACAAAATAATATACAAGTTTTGTACAATAGGTGTTACCCTGTAGAATCTAATACGAATAAAACACGTTAAATTATATAAAAAAAAAAAGCGTTGCCCTTTTTTACAAATTTATTAGGTTCCATCAATTCATGTAGATAAATAAGTAAACAGAAGTGAATTAAATGAAAGCGCTATTTTATATGATCCTGTTACACGTAATGAAAATGACTGAATCCGCGTGATAATGCTGAGAACCGGAAGGAACAAAAGCAGAAGAAACAAAACGAACTAAACTGAAATATTTGTAGCAAATATTGGACGAGGTTTAAAAGGAACGCTGAGCGCTAAGATTGGAATATTGGAATATTTTTACCAAAGAAATATGAAGTTTACAGCTATAAATTAATAACGCTGAAATTTGCGCCAAAATTAATGAGCAATCTGTCACCAATGATACAGTGGAACCCCGCCTTACGGCTACCATCTCGTTAATGCGGCCACCTTGTTATTGCAGTCACTTTATACTGAGCCGAAAAAGAGCTCAGCCAGTCAATTTCTTATTTAAAGAACCCCTTTACACGGCCACCCCGTTACTACGGTCAAATTTTTGTGGCCCGTTGACGACCGGATTAACAAGTTTTCACTAACTTATTAAGCAAATAACGGTTAATGTCTAACATGTCATTGTGTTACTTACTCAGGTATTTGATGGAAACACAGATCAGGACACTGTTTTGTATCATGCACTTAACCCACCAATCACAACTCGGTATATTCGTTTTCAACCAGTGGCTAAATCTGGCCACGTATCAATGAGAGTGGAGCTGTATGGATG